CCCCCCCCCGTTTCCCAGTACACACACGCCTCACTACCATTACAGGCATTCCAACACCATCAAATCACAAACTAGAAATAAATGGAATAATACAATGACGTTGGTAAGACAACGCTCTGGACAAACACCTGGCGACATCAAGCAAACCCCTAACCGGCCTACTATGAATTACTAAATCTTCCCCAACCAGAACATAAACACACTTCATATCATATAGAGACAAGTTAGAACTGGCACAGAACAGCACCAGTGCCCCGATGGCAGTGCGAGGCATCTTGACTTTATAGCAACACCTGTGTTGCATAGGACCTGCTGGTTAATGGTGTGTATCAATGCACAAGCTCCAAATCCCACTAGAGAAGGAATTGATCACCCCCTGGTTTTAGCCCTCTTCATCCCAAGACTGTTGTGGAAGGGGGAAACAGAACCAGACATTTGAGAACCTTCTTCACGAAGAGTACCATTAAGCATAGCAAGTTCACGTAGCTGCTGTTTTTTATAGAAATCCTGGGACTCATCCTGCATTTGGAGGAAGATGGAGAAATGACAATAGTGAACATCAAGTCTCCACTTTTGAAAATGTGTATAATACTAGACAAAAATGACAACTTGCAAATCTATGTTGAAAGTTGAAACTACCATAGGCTTGAGCAGATCTTCCAATATCTCATGTGCTTGCAATAGCCGAGCATCAATGATCTCCACTGGCAGTTCAGCCTCCACAATAACATGAAGAGGCTCATTCAGGTGTTCATACCCCGGTTTGCCCCTCATCATTTCTTCCTTCAAATGTCAAAAGTAAATTATCATGTTACATGTTGCTCTTCCATGGAAAACAAGAGTAATTACATCTTTTAACAGCATACCCACATCAGTTGAGAAAGATGATTCCAAGTGGCAAAATTGTACAAATTACAACCTGAGTACCACCTCAGACTACCCAATGACACTACCAGAGTTCCTGACAATTCTAATGACTGGATTCCAAATTTCACCTCAACCAAAATACTTTTAATACATCAATTTTGCACACCAACCTATGGAGTGTGGAAAGGCCCAACCTTAATCATCACAGATGAATCAACTGAATAAGCCTAAAAAAAGGCAAATTATCTCTAACTTTATCAAGCACTTCAAAACACATCATCAGCCAGTATGAATAGTACTGGAATACACACCTAGATAAGCAATACAAACTCTACGAGAAGATAATAGTCTTTGCAACGAGCTTCGGCTATTAACTAATGGCCAAAAAAGCGAACTGGTAGCTTCATTTACTACCATAGCTATCAGCCGGCAAAAAACATCCAACTCAGTCTAATTACCCTGGGACAAGACCAGGAGGAAAGGAGAAGGGAACAGAGGTCGCCTCTCATGCTTATTTCATGGGTTCTCAAATATTACAGCATTCCACAATATTACCTTTATTGGATCCTTGATGCTGCCGCGTCCTCTTACCAGAACCCGGCACTCGGTAGTAGCTTCCACTCGTTTTAGAGAGTTCCCTCTAGGGCCCAGGAGGCGCCCCACAAAATTGTACTGCAAATGTAACTAAAACACACACTCAACATGATGTAGCCAAAGCATGAATAACAGGATGGAAAAATAGATAATAATTCATACATTAGGATATTGGTCCACGGGTATATCAATTCTGAGTGTTCGCTTCACTATGAGGCCTGATGAGTTACTTTGAGTATTAAGCCAGCTTTGAGCAGATGGTGAGTGCATTAAACCTGATATCTGGACATCATAACCACAGAATTGGTTAAACAGTTTGTACTACACTACGGAGAACACCGGAAACCTCCTTATTTTAGATAACCAACCCTGAACCTCTTTAAGATTCAGTAGATTTAAGACATCCCAAAATCCAAGAGATACAAGAGGAATAATAAGAAAGCACATACTAGATGTATGCAAGTTTATAGAAAACAAATAAAGACAATAGACCCACTAATTACAAATGCAATTTTAACAAATAGACACACACTGAGACCCTTAAACAGAACAGATCTTGATGAATTTGATCAACTAGGAAATAAAGTGCTGATGATTTTTCAAAAGCCAATAACCTGATTTTCCAATGTGTCACGTTGGATGAAAGCATCCTATAATATTTAGCAGAATTGAACGTAAAGAGTTTGTTAGTCCTAAAGCAATTGAATCGGGTTCTGCGTAACAAGCCCCGGACATTCTAATGAGAAAATTATTCAAATCAACACAGAGTAAGATGCTCCAGTGCTGTCATAGGCATCTACATCTCTTTCTAAAATTTAGCTGGACGTTAGTATATCAGAACAGTAAGACACCTAGTAACTAAAAGCAAAATTCTAAATCAAGATTCTGAGCTTAAACTAATATATCAGTGTCGCTGTGGTTAGCTTCAACTACCTGTCACGAGACAAGTGGAGATAGAAGTTAAAACACTTAATATGGAATCAAGTTAGCATGGAAAGTAAACTTTTGTCAAAAAAGCTTTTCAAAGATAAAGAATTAGATCTAAAAGATGTTATGTTAATAGTTAGTATCCATACTTCTGATTGAAATGGTGATGCCCATCTGTCCATATTAGCTCCTCCATTTGAATACATTCCTCCTGAAGCCAGGGGGCTAGCTTGTTCAAACCCACTTTGATCTAAAACTGAAGCATTCCCCAACAGTGTAGTTACACGCAAAAGTTCTGCTTCAAAAATGTCAATTTCCAAGAATAAGACGTACCAGTTAGCAGTGGTTAATAAATCAGTTAGCAGCCACCACAATATGGACAACAAGACGATCCTTTATTGGTTAGTTATCTCACTGATTTTACAGGAAAAAATAATTTGTTAAAGCAACCAGTTAGCAGTGGTTAATAAATCAGTTAGCAGCCACCACAATATGGACAACAAGACGATCCTTTATTGGTTAGTTATCTCACTGATTTTACAGGAAAAAATAATTTGTTAAAGCAACCAGTTAGCAGTGGTTAATAAATCAGTTAGCAGCCACCACAATATGGACAACAAGACGGATCCTTTATTGGTTAGTTATCTCACGGATTTTACAGGAAAAAATAATTTGTTAAAGCAATCAGTTAAATGGTATGGACAGAAGAGACTCCTAGGGTTGCTAATTTGCAGAAATCGAGCAGAGATCAATACTCTAGGTGGTTCTTCTAGACACCTGTTTTTTGAAATGCATAACGTCTTGTCAGATGAATGGCTGAAACCTCACACAATAATAAAAGGAAATGGAGAGGGAGGAGCATCTGCAATGAAGAGAGGAATAGTAGAGGTAGGAAGCATGGGGCGAAGAACCTAAGGCACAACAAGAATAAAAACCATCGCATTAGTAAAGGCACTTGAAGGCACCTTTTTTCAGGTGAAGATGCCAAACTGAGACATCAAGATATACAATCTTCTCAATAACAAATACTACCCCTGCCATTTCAAGTGATTCAGTATGACACTTCACAGCAATCAGAAGCAAAAAAAATTGTTTTCATAAAAATGAGTCCTGAAGAAGGAGAGGACGAAGAAGAAGGAGAAGAAGAAGGCATAACCTAACTGAAGAAGGGGCACATTATGCGGACAACAGCAAAAAATCACAACTAGGTTGAGACAGTCCTGGTTAGTTAGTTGTAATAAAAGAAAACTATTCCTTAATGGTCCAACTTGTCTTTGGCCATATCCTCCATCATTTCCTAGACATTTGAAAGTAGTTGTACGAAAAGAAAAATTATTCCTTATAGGTCTAACATGTCCATGGCATGCCATTCGCCATTTACAGACGCATTTACAAGAGGAATAACATGCCCAGTATGACCTCTTACTACGATACAGAAATACCCAAATGCAGGTCCATATCTCTAGCTTGAATGTTTCATCACACAACGAATCAATCCTTCCCTTAATACTGGACAAGCTCCAAAAAACGCACTTCATGCTTCTTCTATCTTAAGGACCAATTTTGAAGTCCTCATTTTAATCTTGTATACTACGAGTGTTGGACAATCGGTCATATTAAAGTTTCCAATTTTTCCTTTCATCAACTCCTTTAGACAGTCAGTGGCACATGCAGAAGTGCACGTTTCTTCTTTTCCGGATCAGTTACAGGCTACAGCACTAAATAGTACTAGAACAAAAGTGTAGGATACCAGGGACAATCAAGTATTATTTCCAACATATAGGAAATAAGCACTGATTCAACACCATGACTGTCTTAACCTCTTCTCTCTCTTGCTAGTGGGTGGTCACAACCTTATTTATAACAAATTTGTGACAAGCTCCGTCATTAGAATGTCCCATTCTCAAACTGAATTATTACGACACATCTTCTTTAATACACTCTCAATAAGCAGAAACGCCTCAGCAGACCATGGAAGAAGGAACGTTGAGATACTAATACCTATTTTATGGGCCAAATATATAGTCAATCATGAATAACAAAAAGACATTCATGGAATACACAAGTAGAGTTGAAATCATCCAGAAAAAAGAGTGATGACCACCTTTACATAGAAGACTCAAAATTGAATTAAATTTACATCCAATTAGCAAAAAGAAGCATAAATGGGATTTACCATCTCATTATATTTTGATAAGAGGATTACCATCTTCAAAAAAAAAAAAAAAA